GCATATTCTGCGTCCAGTACTCCAAACAAAGAATGAGCGATATTTCCAACTGCATCAATGGCACCTCGTTTACGCCGATTAGATTTTACTATTGCGTAGTCTAGCTGCAACTCTTTTTCAGTCTGTTCAAGATGTGCTACCAGGGAAAGACATAAGCTTTTTCGTGTGATTTCTTGAGATAAATGGCGCAGGGCCCTTGTGCCATTTGACAACGCTGCTAGTTCTACCAAAAATCCTTCCATGTCATAGTAGATATTTAGGTTGATATGGCTGTTGAGTCTATTCCTTCAAAATGAATGCCAAGCCTTGATCCAAATCGCTTATTTTGAAGTTCAGCTCCTAAAGCCAATGGTAAGATGAGTAAGGTAATCAGAAGTGTAGCAAGTCCTTGGTGTAAGGAAGGATTATTCCTCCTTGATGGAATTTTGTCTTCCTCAAGCAGATTGTTGCGTGACGGTCGCTCTGTGGCATCATTTGTTTCCTTGGGCAAGGGTATAAGCCGATGAATAGGCCTCTTGCAAGTGCCACTACCAGTTTTTACATCAGCCACTCTCACTACACCGTCGTTTCCTTCATATACATTGATGATTCTTCCTAATGGCTACTGCAGTACCGGTGCGTTGTCTACTTTGATGATCACCATGTCACCTACGTTGATGTTGTTGTGTTGTGCCTTTGCACTTATTTCGCAGCTGAAAGTCCGATAAATATTCGCGGGACCACCGATTCCAAAACTCGCGTTCGAGGTGAGAAACAAGTTTCCATCTTGTTAATAAATTTGTTTGCTGTGGCCTACACGTTGGATCAACTTGGGCATTAAGGGGTTCTCCTGTGAGGAAGTGGCCTGGAGTTAAAACTGTTAGATCGATAGAATTGTCGGACATTGGGCTGATTGGTCTGGAATTTAGGATTCCTTCCACCTCGATGATTACCGTGTCCAATTCTTCATACGTTAAGGACGCTGTCGAGGTGCTTCTTATTAGTAGATGCTTAGCTGAGTTTACCGCTGCTTCCTATAAACAGCCAAAATGTGGAGTCCTAGGAGGTATAAAATGAAATGCACTGCACTGCTTTACCATTGATTCTCGTGATGAGTTTCCATAAACAACGTCAGTAAGTTCAGAAATCTGGTTTATCGCGCCTACAAAATTAGTTGCGGTGTCACAATATAAATTTTGACAATGTCCTCTTCGGCTTATAAGTCGTTTTAAGGCACCAATAAATGCATCCGTCGTTAAGTCGCTGACTAATTCCAAATGCACTGCCTTTGTGGCAAAACAGAAAAATACCGCTACATAGGCCTTTTGTGGTTTCTTTTCCCTTATTTTGAAGAGAACCCAAAATGGCCCGCAGAAGTCCACGCCTGAGTTGATGAATGGTTTTGCTGGAGTTACTCTTGTTAAAAGCAAGCTCCCCATAATTTGACTCATTAGTTTTGGCTTAGCTTTGGTGCATCTTACACAATTGATCGCGTCAGAAATTTTCCCTTAATAGGCCAAAATCTTTGCCTTGTGTAAGCTTAGAGCGCTTGAGGTCCACAATGACGGTTTTCTTTATGAATCATTTGTACTAGTAATTTTTAAAAACTTTAACTTTTAAAGATGCTGTATCATTTTTAATGCTTGCTTGGAATCAGCTGAAGGCAAGTGTAACAGCGCAATGTTGGAAGCCTTTATTAATGTTTCAATGCTACAGAGCCAAATGAAAGCGAGGATGAAGACAATGATGTTCCTCTGAGCTTACTTCGCCAAAAAATATTGCAGGAAAAATATAAAGAAATCGATGATATACAGGGTCTGCTGCAAGTTGTAATACCGGAGGTAATTTTATTGACCCTATTGACATTCACCTGTCCATTTCGTTTTTATATACTTTAATTATTTTAGGAAACCTACACTGAAAATGATATCTAAAATTAAAATACAATCGTAGACGACGAACCAATTGATTTAGAGAAAGATGCCGAGGATACTGCAGAAGCTGGTGATGATGACCAAGGCGAAGGACAGATCGGAAATCCTATAAAAGCCACTGANGGCGAGTGAATTGTTATGTGGAATTAACATAGGGTGTTTGGCATCGTATGCAAGTTCTGATGCTTGTAGACGCCCTCCAACTCGGATGATGCCATTATTGTCCAGAAACGGTGACAGGCTGCGGAAATAACTGTTTTTGCGAACTTCTTTGTATTTTTAAGGTGCTTAAGCTCTTCCTCAAAGTCCAATTGCTGCATTGTACGAATGATTACCACAATCCAATTCGTGTACGGCCAAGGAAATATCTGACTGCCGCGATTGGTTTCTGGCCTGGTTGATAAATCTCAGCATGTAGCCTATCACTCTTTGTAATGTTTTGAAAGAGCCATTGTGTCGAATGCTATAAAGTACGCTTCCTTCATGTCCAGTGGTTGCAACAGCGACTGATGTCACCCTTTTCCGTTCCATGTTGATACCTTCGTCGATTACTGATAATGCCTTGGAATACTTTGAAGGCCAAGTGTCTTCTTTACCAAGTAAGATTGTTGGCCCATAAAACCACATATTGCAGGTTTCTAGTCTCCCCGGCGGCAGTCCTCGTGATATAATGTCAGCTGGGTTGTCTTTTGAGCTTATATGCCGCCATTATTCAGCGGTAGTGTGCTCATGAATAACAGCTATACGGTATGCTGAGGATGAGTTAATCAATGCCAACACGATTTGTGAATCAGTCCAAAAGTATGTAGCCACATCGTCCAGCTTAAGGTCTGATTTGACCCTTGTAGTTAGTTGAGAACCCAGTACTGATGCACAGAGCTCAAGCCGAGGAATAGTTTGCCGTTTCAAGGGTGCCACACGTGATTTTGCATAGAGCAGCCTTACTTGTACACGTCCTTCATCCATCTCGGATCTAGTGTAAATCGCAGCACCATACGCCTTTTCTGATGCGTCAGAGAAGACATGAATTTGAATTTTTGCTAAGATGTATCCTTCAAACACGTGCCGTGAAACTTGCATGTTGTCCAATTTTTGCAAATCATTTCGAAATGTGGTCCATCTCTCATTCAAATCGGCTGGTAATGCTTCATCCCATGTCAGTTTCAGTTGCCAGAGATCATGAATAAACATTTTTGCCATGACTACAATTGGTGCTAGTAACCCCAACGGATCGAAGAGCCTTGCAAGATCGGCGCTGACTGAGCGTTTCGTTGCAAGACTACAGCTCCCAAGGCATACCTTTACGCAGAATCGAATTAGGTATCCATGTTAACCCCAACGTTTTAATAGTTTGATTGATGTCATTGTCAAAGTCTATGTCAACTTCTTGTTCCTCCATGCCAACATTTTGCAGTAATTGTGAGTGATTGGCGCACCATTTTCTTAGGTTAAGACCACGTTGTTTTAAGATGTGTATCAGTTGCTGTTGGATTTCCATCGTCGTGGTTAAGCTGTCTGACCCACCAATTCCGTCATCTACATAAAAATTGTCCTGTAGAAACTGAGCACCAAGAGGATATTGTAATGCATTTTCTTTTGCAATTTTCTGCAAACATTTGGTGGCGAAATATGGTGCAGATTTTGTCCCATATGTGATTGTATTTAGCTGATAATGCTTTATTAGTAGGCTTGAATCCTTTCGCAAGATGATAAGTTGGAATTTGCGCTCGTCCGGTTGAATGAGAATCTGTCGATACATTTTTTCTACATCTGTGGTGAAGACGAACCTGGGCAAACGGAAGCGAAGTAAAATGGTGAAAAGCTCGCTCTGAACAGTGGGTCCGGTATACATGAGGTCATTCAAAGACATGCCAGTGGACGATTTTGCTGATGCGTCGAACACCACACGTAATTTTGTAGTGCGGCTTTCGGGTCTCACAATGCAATGGTGAGGAATGAAGTAGCTAGGTTTAATGATGGAATCAATTTCCACTTGCGTCATGTGCCCCAAGTTCTCATATTCCTCCATAAATTGTACATATTGATTCTTTGTCTGGAGCGATTTTGCCAGTCGACGTTCTAAGGCCAGGAATCGATTATACGCCATCCCATAGGATTCCCCTAAGGCCTCCGGATTTTCATGAAATGGTAGCCTTACCATGAATCTCCCATTTTCATTGATGAGTGTATGTTGTGCGAAATGAGCTTCGCACTGTTTTTNGCCAGTCGACGTTCTAAGGCCAGGAATCGATTCTACGCCATCGCATAGGATTCCCCTAAGGCCTCCGGATTTTCATGGAATGGTAGCCTTACCATGAATCTCCCATTTTCATTGATGAGTATATGTTGTGCGAAATGAGCTTCGCACTGTTTTTCTGCTACGGAATGTTGTTTTCTTACAGTTGCAACATCCTCAAGTTCCCATAATCGAGCAATGGCTGCATCTAAGTTGATGTCATCGTTGGTACAGATTCCACATATTGCATTTGAGATGTAGTTGCCACCAACTTTTCCCGCGATGATCCATCCCAGCACTGTATTTTGCAGAATGGGTAGGTCATCTGACAGTTTGATTTGCCCTGCTGCCATCAGTTGGTGGTAGAATTCCGCCCCCAACAATATATCAATTTTGTCAGGACGATTGAATGATGGATCGGCTAACATGATGTTCTCAGGTATTTGCCATTCGTCGATCTTGATTTCTTGCGATGGCTGCGGGGATATAATCTGCGGCAATACCGCTGCCTCTAGCCGCGTTGTAAAGTTGTTGATCCGAGTCTGTAGCGCCACATCTCTGTAGGGAAAACACGAACTAGTGAACCAGATTTCTAGTTCAATGAGTACAGGGTACTCATTTAAAAGCGCAAAACTCTCGCAAACTGGGCAAACTGT